CTGGTCTTGGTTTAATTTTGGTATATGGCATTTATCAAAAAATGTGCATTTCTTTTACATTTTCCAATTTTGTGCAGTACAGGCTTTTGTAGTAAGACCTAATGATTCTCTAAATTTACTCATTGTGTGTTGTTATGTCCCCATCTTTATTTCTGACCTTGTTAATATGAGTGTTCTCTTTCCACCTTTTGATTAGTTTGGATAGGGGTTTGTTGATCTTGTTGATTTTCTCCAAGAACCAGCTTTTTGTTTCATTGATTCTTTGGATTGTTTTCTGTGTTTCTATTTTCTTGATTTCAGAACTCAGTTTGATTATTTCCAATCTTCTACTCTCCTGGGTGAGTCTGGTTCTTTTTTTTTTCTAGAGCTTTCAGGTGTGTTGTTACGTCTCAAATGTGAGCTTTCTCTGTTTTCTTCATGTGGGCACTTAGTGCTGTGAACTTTCCTCTTAGCACTGCTTTCATAGTGTTTCATAGGTTTGAATATGTTGTGTCTTTATTTTCGTTGAATTCAAGGAAGACTTTAATTTCTTTCTTTATTTCTTTTTTGACCCAAGGGTGGTTTAATAGTTGATTGTTCAATTTCTATGAGTTTGTAAGCTTTCTGGAGGTAAAATTGTTGTTAAATTCTAACTTTATTCCATGGTGATCCAATAAGACACAGATGGTTACTAAAATTTTTTTTTGTATCTGTGGATGTTTGCTTCTTTACTGAGTATGTGATCAATTTTCTAGAAGGTTCCATGAGATTCTGAGAAGAAGGTACATTCTTTTCTGTTTGGGTGAAATGTTCTATAGATGTCTGTTAGGTCCATTTGATTCATTACCTCTAGTAATTCTCTTATTTGTCTGTTAAGTTTCTGTCTGGTTGACCTGTCTATTGGTGAGAGAAGACTGTTGAAATCTCCTATTAGTGTGTGGGGTTTGACGTGTGCTTTGATTCTAGTATTGTTTCTTTTACATATGTGGGTGCTTTTATATTAGGTGCATATATATTCAGGATTGAAATTTCATCCTGATGAATTGTTCCTGTTATGATTATATATTATATTATATATTATTGATATTAAGCAATATTAATGACCAGTGGTAACTCCGTTTTTTGTTGTTGTTTTTTTTTTTTCGGTGGTAATGTTTGTGTTTTTCCCTTCTTTGAGTTGTGCTGGTGGAGGGTTGTCAGATGTCTGTGTTATTGTGGGTGTTGTTGGCTTCCTTGGGTTGAGGTTTTCCTTCTAGTACTTTCTGTAAGGCTGGGTTTGTGGCTATGTATTGTTCACATCTGCTTTTGTCCTGCAATATCTTGTTTTCTCTATCGATGGTGAAGGAAAGCTTTGCTGGGTATAGTAGTTTGGGCTTGCATCCATGGTCTCTTAGTGTCTGCAACACATCTATCCAAAACCTTCTGGGTTCATGGTTTCGATTGAGAAGTCAGGTATAATCCTGATAGGTTTACCTTTATATGTTACGTGAACTTTTCGCTTTGAAGCTCCTAATATTTTTTTCTTTATTCTGTATGTTTTGTGTTTTGATTATTAGGTGGCAAGAGGATTTTTTTTTGATCCAGTCTATTTGGTGTTCTGTAAGCTTCTTGTTCCTTCATAGGAATATTCTTCTTTAGGTTGGGAAAGTTTTCCTCTATAATTTTGTTGAATATATTTTCTGGGACTTTGAGCTGGAGTTATTATTCTTCTATCCCTATTATTCTTAGGTTTGGTGTTTTCATGGTGTCCCAGATTTCCTGGATGTTTTGTGTTAAGAATTTGTTGGAGGCCTCCCACCCTGCCGCCTCCGTTGCCGCCACCTCCTTGGGGCCCTCCGTGTCTGCGCAGCGCGGCCTGCGGCTCCCGGAGGAGCATCCCAGCGCGGGGCTCGGCGCGGGTGCGGGGCACAGCCATGGCGGACGGTACGGGAGCAGGCGCGGCGGGCCAGGCCTCGGAACCGGCGGCGGTCTCGAGTGGGGCAGGGGGCCCGGTCAACCCCGCGTCGCTACCTCCGGGAGACCCGCAGCTCATTGCTCTCATAGTGGAGCAGCTCAAGAGCCGCGGCCTGTTCGACAGCTTCCGTAGGGACTGCCTGGCTGACGTGGACACCAAGCCAGCTTACCAGAACCTGAGGCAGAAAGTGGATAATTTTGTGTCAACACACCTGGACAAACAAGAATGAAATCCTGCAATGAACAAGAACCAGTTGCGAAATGGGCTGAGGCAGAGCGTGGTTCAATCAGGCATGTTGGAAGCAGGAGTGGACAGGATCATTTCTCAGGTGGTGGATCCCAAACTAAATCACATCTTCAGGCCACAGATAGAGCGAGCAATCCACGAGTTCCTGGCAGCCCAGAAAAAAGAAGCTGTGCCAGCTCCCCCTCCAGAACCTGAAAGCCAGGATCCTCCAGCGCCATCCCAAGATACTTCCTAAGGATATGCCTGATACATTTGGAAAACTCTATTTACTGAAGAAATGAAACGGATTCCGGTTTCATACGAATATAACTTTAGTCGACCGTGTCACTACTGATGTCAAGATTTTGACCTTGACTCGGGTGGTGTCCATATTGGATGGACAGCAAGTTTGGTGGTGGGACGTTATTCATACTTCCTCATGAATTATGCCATCTTTGGCCAGCCTGTCCAGGGGTCTGACCCCAGTATAGACACTACAGAGGTTTAAGCACTACGTGACTTGGACTGTCCTGATCAGACCTTTGTACTTGAACCTGGACACTGCATGTGGATGTTAACGCTTGTGTTCTGCAGTATGCAGAAGCCGGGCTGGGGCTAGCCGGTCAGGACAGCAAAGGGCCATGGGAGCAGCTGTTTGACAGTGGGTTTTGATACCGTTGCTTGAGTTATAGACTGGGATGTGCAGCAGTTAGCGTCAGTAGCCCTAGGTTATTGTGACCTTCCTGTACTTGGGATTTTAGTGGTTTCCTTTCTCTTATCAGAGGTAACTTGGAGCCCTGAGGTGAGTGAGGAAAGCCCCACTGCCTCTGTCCTGGCATCTCCCTAGCCACAGGGCAAGTCACTCTGGATGGTGCTCAGTTCTCGTGTTTGTGTTTCCAGAAGAACACCGTTAGTAATAAATAGCAGACGTTTTGCAATTAAAAAAAAAGAATTTGTTGGAATTGCTGGGGGTTTTTTTGATCAATGGATCTATTTCCTCTATAGTATCCTCAGTGCCTGAGATTCTTTCGTCTATTTCTCATATTTTGTTGATGATACTTATCTTTGTAGTTCCTGTTCATTTACCCAGATTTTCCATATTCAGCCATCCCTCGGTTTGTGTTTTCTTTATTGCCTCCATTTCAGTCTTCAAGTCTTGAGCTGTTTCGTTTATCTGTTTGATTACTTTGTCTTAGTTTTCTTGGACATCTTTGAGGGATTTATTAATTTCTTTTTGTTTGTCTGCTTTTCCATTTCTTTAAGGGAGTTTTTCACTTTCTGTTTAAAGGTCTCCATCATTTTCATAGGGTTACATTTAAAGTCGTTTTCTTCTGCTTCTCCTGTGTCAGGATGTTCAAGTCTTCCTGTTGTGTGTTCATTGGATTTTGGTGTCACCATGTTGCTTTTCAGGATGTTGTAGAAATTCTTGCGTTGGCATCTACCCATGTCTTCCTTCACATGAGGCCATCAGAATCTTGGCATCTTGGTCAATCTTTGCTGTGGCTGACTGTGTACTTGGGAGTTTTTCTAGGTCTGCCCTCTCTTAGGTCTCCTCTCTGAGGTCTGGAGCAGACTCTCAGATCCCCTCCGCCCTGAAGCAGGCTGTGTTGGGGGATCCAAAACCTCAGAGATGAAAAGGCTGGCTTGGAAGCAGGGTGGAATGGGGTAGTGGGGAACAGAAAGCCAGCAGAGCAACATATCCCGATGGATGTCCAGAAAGCTTAGGGAATTGGAGGGGGCCTGGATTCATTCCCCCCAGGACTGTCTCAGAGAGTGGCACTTCAGGTTGTCTGGCCATGTGGCCACTTACCTCTCCAGTACCCCTCAGCATGGGAGCAGGGTCTCTTGCAGGGATCCAAGGACCTCTCAGACAAAAAGGCGGGCTTGGGGGCAGGATGGGATGGTAGAAAGAAATTCCAATGGCAGGAACACTTCCTACTGGCTCTCTGGACCCCTCAGTCCTGAAGCAGGCTGTGTTGGTGGTCCCAAGGACCGCACAGGGAAAAAGGTGGGCTTGGGGACAAGTGGAATGGAGTAAAGAAAGCCAGCAGAGAAACACACCCTGCTGTATGGCCAGAAAAGCTTAGGGACTTGTCCCAGAGAGTGTTAGTTCAGGCTATTCAGCTTTGTGGCCACTTACTCACCTCTCTGGTTTCCCTCAGCATGGGAGCAGGATCTCTTGCAGGGTTCCTGTACAAGGCTTTTTGAAGTCATGAGCCTGTGGTGACTTACTGGGGCTTTTCTCCTCCTTAGTCTCTGCATAAGGAGGTCCAGGCCTTGATGTGATGCAGATCATCTCTGTAAAATCTCCCTGTGAGTCACACACCACTGGTGTCTGAAGAGAGCTCTGATTGGTTAATTCTGAGGCGTTTTTTAAGGAGACTTCTACTATCGTCCAAAAGGGCCTTGTTCTTTCCCACTTCTCTTTTTTCCTACAGAAAGAGAAATGGGTTTAGGCTGATGCTTTAAATCTTAGAACAACAAGCCTTGTCAACAAAAAGATGAACAAAGTGTATTTGTATTCAAGTCTGATGTCTCAACCTAGGGTACATGTGATGCTTTATGAATCTGGTACTAATGAAAGAAAACCACCATCGCTTTACTCAGTTCCTGTACAGTTGTCTTAAGTAATGACTAAATCTCAATCCTCTCAGTACCCTTATGTATTTTGCACATGTATGAGTGTGTGTGTTGTGTGTGTGTGTGTTATGTGTGTGTTTCCTTTGGTCTTAGTCATTGGACCACAGACTCCACTGAAAGAACACAACACAATCCCATGACACAGGCTGACTTGGTGACACAAAACCACCTGTCCTCATGCTCACACACTGACCTTATCTGCCAGGTACTCTTCATACTCCCTGGCATAACCTTCTAATATTTTGATCTTCAGGGTCTCAGCTTTTTCAAATACCTTGTTTATACACTGCAATAAAAAACATAATGGCGAATTAGAACAATTCAACTGTCAGAAAAGAGGGAAAGAAAACAAGTGGGGAGAGGCAGCAGTGTCTCATGCAGGACTCGCTCCCCATCCCAGGCCATCCCTCTCCTCTGTACTGCTGTGCTGAGGCAGCATCAGCTCCCCTCCCACCCAAGGTCAGGATCTGTCCATCTTCTCTAAAACACTCTCTACTGCTCTGGAGATTTTAGACCAGCCAAACAGACAATGAAGACCCACCTTTTTGATTTTTGTGTTCGTGAAAGGATGTTGTTATATTCTGGGCCTTTTCTTAGTTTCTCCACAAAGAGCCTGAATGAATAAAGTACAGTGACTAAGATGTACAGAAAAGTTCCAGAAGTGAGTGAGAAGGGGCACACCCTGAAGTCCCATATCCTTTTTCCTCCCCGGGCCTGGAGAGAGAAAGTTCCTCACTGTTCTGTCAACAGGGACGTTCCACAAACATAAGTTATCAAGAAGTATAGCTAAGCTGACATGGTGTGTTCTTGTTATCTCAGCACTCAGAAGGCAGCAGATAGAGTTAGTGGACTCATAGAACCTTGAGAAAACAGGCCATTCTCCAGAAGTTCAAAACAGGAAACAGTTGACTATTTTTTCTACTCCCAATAACAATATGGATATTTGCTCATACAACACCTTAGTGCATTGTTTCCTTCAGGACATACCTCACCTCAGAGAGCATTAGGTAATGACAGGAGATAATGGTGCTCAGAGCTAGGGTGAGCTATGCTGTGGAACCCAGTGTGATTCTCCACCCAGTGTTGAAGTTAGCTAACCTGCTTCAACACTCAGGTCAGTCCAAAACCAGGAAAAATTCTTGAGTGAAAGGTGTGATCAAATACTGAGTGTGATAAACTGATATTTGAGAGAACACGTGATTGCCATTGTAAGAATTATTTTTCTGTAGAATAAAAAGATATGAGAAGGATGTTTACTGTGATCTCAAGGGATTACCTTCAACTTGCAGAATACCAACAATGGAAAACCAAATGAACCCTTGTTCTAGAAGTCATACGACCTGAGAATTGCAAACTGTGGTACCTGAACTCAACTCTAACCCTGAGCTTTCTCTTCCTCTGTGGACCAGGAAGGTGATGTGCCTACCCAGCACATGCAGTCTTCTGAAGATCAAAGAAGTCATTCCCAGGGAGCTCCTCCCTGGTGCCTGAGCTCCTTAGAGTCACATACCTTTGTCTCCTTTGGTTCTGTTTCACAGAACTCAGACTAGACATGACTGGTGAGACCCTCACTGTCTTTTCTTTCCTCATACACAGAAAGATTTTGTCATTGAGGATATAGGTGCTATTCCCTGGTGACAGTTCTGTAATCTTGTATTTATTCTGCCTACCAAATTACAATAAACAGCATAGGAACTGTGTTGAGCCACAATGACCCCCAGGTAGTTCACAGTTCTCTGGTGATGGTAAGCTACAGGATAGGCTGACCTCTTCCTATACCAATCAATAGGCTACAGGATGATGAGAAGAGAAATCTGGGTTTTGTTAAACACAACAATAATCCTGTGAATGGATGCCTGGGTCTAGACAAAGCAATCAACAGACTCAGCACTGCAGACATGTCCTGTTTACCTGCCATCGCTTTTGTCTAAAATACGCACCATGTGGGAACAAGCTCAAGAACTACTCATGAAGTCCCTTATTGGTCATACCAACACCTTTGGTCCTCAGGTCTTTGAATAGCAAGGAAAAACACATATGTGAGCTGCCAAAAATCTGAATAAATTATGCCTTTGTCAGATTCCATAAGGCCAGTAAGGTTAAGAAGCTTGAAAAGGAGAACAGGGGGATTGGGCGATCAGTCACAGAAAAGGAGATGAAAACTTCAGGTTCTCACGTTAAAAATTTGTGGTGCGTTATAAACGCTTCTTGTAGGAGGCCCTGCTTCTCATAGTCCTCTGCCATTCATAGGATGTCCTTCTTCATCTGAACATAGGAGAGCAGGGGCAGCTTTTCACTGATCCCAATATTTAGCCCCTCAAAACTTAAAATTTAGAAACTCTCTTGGGGTGGGAGAGTTACGTCATTCGGTCTGCGGATGGTACTCCTGTTCTGAGACAGAAAAGAGAAAATGGGGAACATCAAATCTCATCTCCTGCTGTCTTGTCATCCACCCATTCTTTCATCCTAGCCATCTGGAATACACACACACACGCACACGCACACACATACACACTTTGTGTGTGTGTTAGAAACCTCTCACTAGAGAAATTAGAGTAAATAAAACACCACATATGATGACTCACCTCAAAAACTTTAGCAAACAAATTTAGACTAGGATGCCCTTGCCATGGTAGTAATGTGATAGAGTAGGTACTATGGATACCTCTGCCTCTTGATACAACGTGAAGAAGAACTTACATAGCATTTAACTTCAGGAACAGAACCTACAAACAGGCTGTTTATTGAGATTAGCACTGGAAGATTTTACATAGCTGTGACTGGGTGTGCACACATCAGAGGCTTGTGCATAACCTTTAACCCATCAGTTACCACTTGGGCTGCTTCTGATATCACCAAGGCAATTAGGGAAAACCCCAAGTTGGAGGAAGCCCTACTAATGTCTTCCACAGTGCAAATCCCAGCTAGAAGCAAAAGGGTTTGTGATGGTCTTCCCTCAGTAATGTAATTAGTACCTAGAGTGTTCAAGTCTTCAGGAGTGTTTTAGTGACAGTGAACCAGGGCAAGTCAGTTACTGATATTGAGGTTTTCAGGAATAAAGGTGAAAAGAAAGAGGAGGAAATAAACCTCCTTGGACATCACAAGTCTGGCTTGAATACTTTCTAAGTGTAAGGGTGTTTGAGAGCAGAAGTACAATGCATTCCAAAGACAAACTGCTCTCAGTATTGACCTGTTTTCTGTGATCCCACTACTAATATATGTAAAAAGTGAGACATGAAAACTAGGAAGTAAATAAATGAGGTTCATCAATTTAAACACAGAAAAAGGCACCAGGCCTTTAAATTTGCAACATATGATTGAATGCAAATGACCCCTCTCTCCATCAGCAATGAGACTTACCTTATTTGGGGCTCTAGCAGAGAAAGGTCCTGTAATACCTGGACACCGTCTTTGGTCTGTGAGCCAGGGTTTAAAAATATCACCTGTAACCAGATATACAAGTAATTAGGAAAGCAGAACCTTTCTTTCTCTCATAATCAAGGTTAATTCATGTTAATTAATGTATTACTAAACTAATGACCATGGTTTATGGTCATAGAGATACAGGCTTTTGATCCTGTAATTTACTTGCTGAGTTTTGTAGTGATAAGCTGGATTTTGAAAAACTGGGATGAAATGAAAATTACTTTCTAAGAATTTATAATTGGCAGTGGCTGCTGACATCCACAGAACCACAGAACAGCTCCAAGGAGCCTGAGAGACCCGTGCAGGCTCAAAGCGGAGAGGAGGCAGCAGAGGATGAGTCTGGGAGAGCACAGTATCTCAGAGTCAACTAAAACGTCAGGTCTTATGGAAAGATTACTGTAGAAGTGTACTCATTAACCTGAGAAAAAAAATGATGCCTGAACAGGGCTCCAGGAAGCATCAGAGAGAAGAGAAACCAGAGCTGCTAAAGCTCACACTAATGGAGAAGAGGAAGGGTTTATTTTCTGGATGAGGCCTTTTCAAAAGACCTCCAAGGACTTTGCTGAATCTGGGGGTTATGTTGGTGTCCATAGTCCATGCCATCACCAGAAACCGTGTGGAAGTCAATGATCTGTACGGTCACTGACTGTTATGGGCAAGGAAGCTCCCATTGCACTGGTATCTGCAAATGCAGACTCATAATTGAGTATGGGAAACATGTCACAGAAGCCTTTTCTCTCCCCTCCCCACAAAAAAAGAAACAGTCTAGATAAAAGGCAACAAAGAGAGTCCTTAAACTGTGATAAAGATGTTGAAGTGTAGCTCTTCACACTTGATGGCTGTGGCAGAAGAGTTGGCTGTTGGTCGTGGAGGACTCAGTTATTTTTAAAGGACTGGCCAGTGAGACATTAACCATGTTCCAAAAAGTATATGAACAGCACAAATTAGACTTTGTGCAGTCTTTTTTTTCTTTTTTGGATGATCACAAAGGTGGACCTAGGAGGCTTGGGAAGTATAATTGAGTATATTTCATAAAATTTCCAAGTAATCAATTTTTACCAAATTCTAAAAAATTACCATGATTTTCAACTTGAAGAAATATTCCTTTAAAACTGGACAGGGTTTTACTTTATAGGACATACCCTCCAGGAACACATGACCCCACAGATGGTGCTGAACATGAACAAGGGTGACTCAGCTACCTCAGCTCCCAAGTGCTCAGGGGACACCTGAACAAGCAGTGCTGACACTGATACTACTTTGAGAGAGGGTTTGGAGGATCACAGCAGGGAACACAATCGCTCCTGTGCCATAAAAATGAAACACAGACTCAGTTCTCTCTCTGGAAGGTCCATCCGAAGTGTAATCCACTGATCTTTGAAGGTTGCTCACTGATCCTGAGTAAGACACAAATGCCTATCCAGCCAGATGAGCCAAGGTACCCTGCTCATGCAGGAGTGGCAGATGCGGCAACCGGCTCCACTCACATGCCAACAATGCTGTTTAACAGCACTAACTTGGAAATTCTAATGTGGAAAATTGAGTGGACGCTCACTGCTGCAGTGGGTCATCTTGACTCTGAGAGTGCCTGTCTGTAGACCCAGTTCTTTCCTACATCTGTGAAAAAAAAACCCTCAGAGAAACTTCCCTGGTACTTTCTTTATACTGTGCTCATAAGCAATACATCAGTGAGCCCAGCGTCTGATCTGTCAGTTTTTCCACTGTGAAATGTGAAGATCCATTTAGTGACAGAGCAGATTCTCGTCCCTAAATTATAATCCAAGATATGTGAAGGCCAAGATCATAGTTAGACCACCGGTCATAGTCCAGTAATCTGCCCATGCTTCCAGACTGTCTGGACTTCTCAAAATGAATGGAAGTACTGATTGAAAGTCACATTGAAATTTCTTTCCTTACCAGACATGGTTGGGAGGATAATATAAACACAGTTATAAGAATCAGGTAAAGAGACAACAGCACTGATTGGTTTCAGAAACAACAAAAAAAAGTCAAAAGTCACATACATGCCCAGGATCGGAGATACTGGACCTGGGAGAAAATTAAGTTTGTTGCATCATAAGGACCCAAGGCCATTCGGGTACTGATTGGCTTAGAAGTAGAATGATGTAATAAAACTTCACTGATACCCTACCCAATGCTTTCTGAAAAAAATCATAAATTAGAGATGCCATATTGAGTTTTGTTGGGTTCCTATTTTTCCTTTGTAGCTTTATAATTCTTTACACTCTGCAAGTTTGTACTGGGTCTAGTGAAGAAAATGACTTGGATGGAGCAAGCAGCGTTAGCTTGAAAGCTGATCCGAAGGGACACAGGGTCCACCACACTTTCTACAGCCCATGTGCTCTGTAGAGATCAAAGAAAAGAAGGACCCAGCGTTGTCTCTTTGCCCTTTATAGTCCAGCAAGTAGTGCGTGTGCAGAAAGAATTCTACTTTTTGATTCAGGAATAGTTTTGACTTTGTGGTCAAAGCTGGCTTGTAATTCGCAACACATTCTAGAATTGCCATGTACCACCTCCAATCCCCCAACTTCAGCCACCTAGGTGCTGAGATTTCACCCATGAGCCCAGACACTCAGAATTGTTACTACAATATGTTTATAGAATGCTCATTTTTATAATCGTTATCACCAGTGTTCAAGGATCAGAAAAAAAAACAATGGAGTCTTTCCTGATGAACTGATAATCCTAGTCACACCCTGTCCCAGCCTCAGTGTATTTCCTGGTCTATTAACCTCCATGTTAAGTAAATCCACATCTGTTTCCCATGTGCTGAGTATTTTCTACTCAGTGTCACCCTATAATTTAGTTTTCTATAAAACCTTTTGACTCCATTCAGCATTCTGTCTCCCATTTCCTGTGTTGCCATGGTAACACCTCCATGTTCCATGTCCTCCCTTCCTTCCATTCCTCTATTTTCTCTCCCACTGTTGCATAGTTCTATTTTCTTGACTGTCTCCAGGTCCACGTGGCCTTCTCTTTTTTTAAACAGCTCAAACTAGCTTTTCCAAGACCTTCAGCCTCCTTCCTGCCCTGTGCTCCTGCATCCTCTCTAGTTCTCTTTGATCAGAAGACACTAAACATTGGAGATATTAATTTTTAAAATCCAGTTGGTTTTATGTTATTTCCTCAGAAATGGTCTTGTATAACCAGAGTGTCACTTACATCTCTCTGCAGCTAGAGCCTGGCCCAGTTGCCTTGATTCTTCTGTCTCTGGCTCCCAAGAGCTGAGATTATAGGGATATGTCACCACGCCCTGACTATTCATTTGAGGAGTTTGTGTGGAGTATGGGCCAGGGTTGTGTGGTGATCTGTAAAATGCACCGAAACTAGGGCAAGACCTCCTTTATCAGGAAGGTGCCTGTCGTTGTACCAGTGTGAAAGTGTCGCAGAAATCACGTCTGCTTCTGTACCTTTGAGTGTCACAGACAGCCCTGCTCTATCAGCAAAAGAAAACTTTCCTGTCCTCCAAAAGCGTCAGGGAAAACACTAGTGCAGCCACAGAAGAGAAGGGACATTGCCTCTCCAGAAAAACTCAGCCGATCTCAGCTGGACTGAGCAGCACAGTTGTATTCTTGAGCTCTCTCATATCTGAACACTGCTGTTGAACAGCATCAACAATGAAGTACTATTGTGGAAAATGTGTGGAAGGAAGGATCATGGCCCTTAGTCACACTGTCTACATACCCAGTTCTCTCTCTCTCTCTCTCTCTCTCTCTCTCTCTCTCTCTCTCTCTCTC